ACTGGAGTGAGCCCTGGTGGGAAAAGTTTGTTCCTCCAAATCGGGGTCATTGGGGAGAGATATGAGGACAGATCGAATTTATCCTGCAGTCTGTCCCATAGGTCTAAGGAATGAGTGATGGCTGGGGCAGTTGGGGGGGGTAGAGGTCGATATGGTTTAGGGACCCACATATAGAGGGATGGGTGATCTCTGCCAAAGATTGTATGTTCAATGTCTACCCAACGTTTGGTTTGTGGCGGGGCATGCCAATGCTGGATCTGGGCTAATTGTGCAGATGCATAGTAGTGTGAGAAGTGTGGTAACCCGAGGCCTCCGCATTTTTTGGGGACGTAGAGTGTGTTCCTACTGACTCTAGGTTTATGTCCGTTCCAGATAAATTTGTCGACCGCTGTTTGTAGGGTTTTGAGGTCAGCTTTGTTGGGAGGGATGGGCAGAGTCTGAAAGAGGTATAGCAGTCGGGGAAGTAGCGTCATCTTTACAGACGTCACCCGGCCCAGCCAGGAAACTCCCAGCTTCGCCCATTTTTGCAGATCGCTGTGTGCGATGCGGAGTAACGGTGTGTAATTTTTCGCATATAAGGTGGTTAAGTCTGCTGGTAGCTGGATCCCCAGATAGGTTATGGCTGTGGGGCATATTCGAAATGGGTATTTGCTTTTTAGGGCGTTTAGTTGTGAGTCAGTGAGCTGAATGGGTAGGATTTCTGACTTTTCCAAGTTCAACTTGTAGCCTGCCACCAAGGCGTAGTCGTGTTTGGTTTTAGTAGGGCTTCTATGGATTGTTCCGGGTTGGTTAGTGTTAGGAGAATGTCGTCTGCGTAAGCCTCTGATAGTTACTCCCTCTACCTGAGGATTGTTTCGGATTGCTTGGAGTAAAGGCTCTAACGATAGGGCGAACATGAGGGGCGATAGTGGGCACCCTTGTCGTGTGCCATTTGATATCGGGAATCTGGGTGGTGTGATGTTGGGGAGCAGGAGTCTCCTTGAGGGGAGTGGTATGTTGCCTGCAGGAACGCGATGAAGGAGCTCGGAAAGTTCATATGTGCTAGTGTGCGGTAGAGGAAGGGCCAGAGTAGGCGGTCAAACGCCTTTTCGGCGTCTAGGGAGATCACGGTGGTAGGGAGTTTGCGGTGGTGAGTGAGCCATATGAGATCTATGTTTCTGCGTGTATTATCTAATGCTTGCCTATTGGGAATGAAGCCCACTTGGTCTGGGTGTATTAATCTGTCTAGGTACGGGTTAATTCGGTTGGCCATCATCTTGCTCATGATTTTAAGATCTACATTTAGTAGGGAGATGGGCCTATAATGTTCGGGTTCCGTGAGGTCTTTGTTAGGTTTGGGGAGTAAGCAGATGTTTGCCATCGTCATGTCCTGTGGAAGGTGTTCGCCTCGCAAGGTAGCGTTGAATACGGCACAGAGGTGTTTGAGGAGTAGGGGGCTAAATTCTTTGTAGTAGAGAGCAGTGTACCCATCGGGGCCCGGGCTTTTGTTAGGTTTACAAGCCCCGAGGGCTAATGCCATCTCTTCCACTGTCGCTTGTTTGGCGGCTTGGGAGAGGGTAGGTAGGGTTATGTGTTGGAGGTAATTGTCTAGCTGTTCCCGGTAGGCCGTGGAGTCGTGACCGAGGTGTGGTGAGTGGTTATATAGGGATTCGAAATAGTGTTGGAATGTGTCCCCGATCTGCTCAGGTATGTCGCTGATCGAGCCCGTCCTCGTGCGTATAGATGATATTTTTTTGGCTTCTAAGCGTTTTTTAAGCCGACAAGCTAACATGGTGTCGGCTTTATTGCCTGATTCATAGTATTTTTGTTCAGTAGTAAGTTCGCGCAGAGTGCGTGGCTGTGGGTCGCGTTTGTGGCTCGTTTCGAGCTTTCGTAGCTCTGTCAGTGTCTCCGTAATTTGCTGTGTCTTCTTTTTTTTATGGGCTGACGCTAGGCTAATGAGAATGCCTCTGATCAATGGTTTGTGTGCCGCCCATAGCGTGATTGGGGACTTGGCTGATTCCGCGTTTGTGATGAAGTAGTCCTTAATGGTTTGGGCGACTGATAGCCTGATTTGTGTATCATGGAGGAGCAGTGGGTTTAATTTCCAGGTCCATGGTCTTTTTAGGTCTGGTAGGCGTATAATAATTGTTATGTCTGCGTGGTCTGACCACGATATGGAGCCTATAGAGGTGTGGGTTATCTGTGATATCAGATTTGGGGAGAGTAAGAAGTAGTCAATGCGCGAGTATGAGGCGTGTGGGTGCGAGTAGAAGGTGTAGTCTTGGGTAGATGGATGTTGTGCTCTCCAGATGTCTAGAAGTGTTTGCGTGGTTAGGAATTGGGCAAAATGGGTATCGTTTCGGGAAGGTTGTGGAGCTTCTGTCCCCCGCGATGATCTATCGATGGCTGGCATATGTGTAGCGTTGCAGTCGCCGCCTACTATCAGGCGTTTGCCTGCGTAGGCTTGTAAGTGTGTAGCGTATTGCAGCCAAATGTGTTGTGTGGGGTAGTGGGAGCTTATACTGAACTTATAGCATATGGTGTTGCTCCTATTTTCCCTTCTATCGTCACATAGCGGCCTTGGGGGTCGCTTGTGCTCCTGATGTCTGTTAAGGGGCATGTGGTTTTGAGTACAATTGCTACCCCCTTCGTCTTCGTGTCCGGGGAGTTGGCCATGTAGCTTTGTTTATAGTATCGGTTGGTGAGAGGGAACGATCTCGTGGATGTGAAATGTGTTTCTTGCAGGAGCAATATGTCTATGTGTTGCCTATGTGCCCATCATAGTAGGCCATGTCGCTTAGCGGGGGTGTTGAGGCCCTTGGTGTTAATAGAAATGCATTTCAGGGATAGTGGCATGATAACGGTCGTGCCCCCGGTTCGGGTCCAACCGTAGCCTGTGTGGTGGATTGGCGGGTGGTGGGTCCAGTGGTTTGGAGGCCGAGTGTCCGGCCGGGGCTCCGCGCCGCGACTGTGGATTGGCAGGGGGGGTATGGGGTGGGAGGGAGGATGAGGGGTGGTAGTGGGAAGAGGGGGGGTAATGTGCAAGGGTGAAGTATTGGTAGTATGGGCCCTGGAGGGCCAAGCTACTGGTCTTACTCGTTGCCAGTAGGTGGTGGAGTGGTCCGCCTGACTGCTCCGTATGCGTAAAGGGTAGATATGGTGGTGGGTTGGTGGGTAGTGGCAGGTAGCCAGAGTTGCCTACAGGCCCGTTGTTGAAGTTGTTGCAATTCCTTGTAGGGGTGTGGGTTGGTCGTGTTGCTTGCCAGCTCTCAGCATCCCCGGCGTCACTCCCCCCCCCGCCACCTCCCCAGCAGAGTAGGGAGGCCCGAAGGGGGAGGAGCAAGGCCCCAGGTGTATGTCGCCAATAGGTGTAAAGTGTGTGTGAGTACTGTACCCATAGTCGGTCTTCGTTACGGGAGTCTCAGTCGCTCTGGGAGGCTGTAGTTTATAGTAGGGCCGTCCTCTCATGTGTCAGTCGTCGTCTTCCCTTAGTGACCAAGGGGTGGGGCGTCCTGTGGAGTAGTCTTGTCTCCGCATGAAGTACACTGGAATCACAGTTGTAATAACATTAGGCAGAATAATGACTAGTGCAAGTCCGTTTAAAAGCATTAAAATTCTCAATACAGGTGCACCCCCGTTGCATATAACATAATATAATGTTTAGATCTCAGAGAAAAGTGTTTTGCCGTGTCATATGCCGCGGGCTAGTTTTACCATGCCACCTCTAGTATTGTTCCCTTCAGTTATGTACTATATGTAGGTATCAGTAGATAGTGGCGTATCCTCTGGTGAATTGTTGCCTAGCCTATTCATATCGCATCAGTTGTACTTTCCCGCTATGATATATAGTGCCTTAGTCTGTGGAGACGGTGTCAGGTCAGAGTGGGTGATCTCAGGCCTCGGTGGCATGTGAGTTCCCTGTATTACGCTGCTTAAGCCAAATATGTCGTGCTGTTGGCTGTCTACCTGCGTTTTTGTTTTGTGGTACATTTTTCTCTACAGTTTGCGTTTTTTTTTCTTTTTTCTCCTTCTTTATAAATTGCCGTCCCCTTTTTTTTTTTTTTTTTTTTTTTTTTTTTTTTTGTGGGTGTAATATGTGTGATATGTCCCCCCTCTGCCTTTCCATTGTGTGTGTGCCCCCTTCGTTGTATATTCCCTATGTTTTGTCTCGTCCCCCCTTTTCCTACCTCCCTGTACCCCCATTTTAGGTGTGCTGTGTAGAAGGTAAGGTTGTTATGGTTGTGTTTCGTGCATGCGCAGGGGCCTATTGTGTGTGCTGGTGTGTGCGAACAATTTTACAGCAAAAGCATGACAAAAAACAAACAAAGAGAGATGAAGGAAAACATTGAGGCCAAGAGAGTCTTATCTGTCAGTCGGATGGTGGAAGATGCAGTATGTCGGCGGGCTGTCGGGATCCTGAGAGTCCTGGTTGTGTGGGATTCAGTGTCCTTGGGTACGTGAGTTGTTGAGGGTCTTGTCGGTGCGCCGAAATCCGGTGAAGCTGGCCACGCGGAGTTGATTTGCTGGTTGGCGGCGGTCATTCCCGAGCGTCTGGGCTCGGATCTCCGGTGGGTGGGTGGCGTCGTTGGTGGTCCGTGTCGGCTCTTCGGGTCGGAGAAGCGGAGGCCATGTTGAGCCCCCCATCGTTGTTGGTATCCTCAAGGGGTATGCCCAGCTGTTCTGCAAAGCTGCGTGCTTCAGCGATGTCGTGAAGAGTATGCGTGTGATTGTTTCTTCGCACCGTGAGTTTAAACGGGTGCCCCCATGTATATCGGATCCGTCTCCGTGTAAGTGCCTGAGTAAGCGGTCTCAATTCTCGTCTCTTTCGCAGAGTGCTCGGGGCCAGGTCCTGGAAAAACAATACCTGGTGTCCCTCAATTTGTAGGGGTGTATCTTGTGCCGCTCTCATGATGGCTTCCTTAATATGGTAGTAATGGAGCCGTACTATCACATCCCGCGGTGTTGGCATTCCGGGGATGGGGGCCCGCAGTGCTCTATGGGCGCGATCTAGCAGCAGTTCAGCTGGGGGTGCTTCTGGGAGTAGGCTGCAGAAGGTCTCCCTGATGGTGGAGGAGAGGGACTCCATATCTATGGTCTCAGGTATGCCCCTTATTCTTATATTATTCCGCCTTGATCGATTGTTAAGGTCTTCTTGGGCTTCTTCAAGCCTTTTCACCTGCTCTGTGAGGTTTTGTAGTGCCTGCTCGTGGGTGTTCGCTCTGGAGGAGGTGGCGGCCATCTTGTCCTCTAGGGAGCTGGTGCGTTGCACGAGGTCTGTCAGGCCCGCCCGCAGGGGTGCCAGGTGTTTGGCAAATTCCGCTGCCATATTCTCCTTTATGTCTTGGAGCAAGCCACGGAGGTCCTCCCTCGTGATAGGGGTTGTATTCCGGTGGCTCATGTCGCTGGCTGTGGAGTCGGAGTCAGACTCCCTCTGTTCCTCCGCCCGCCGTCCCTCCTCTGGTGCGCGGGATCTGAATATCGGGGCCACCGCCGACCCCTTTGAGGATTTGCGCCCGCCGCCCATATCCTCGGGTGCACTGATGGTAGGTGGTTCTGTGGAGGGTGTTTGTGCTGTATTAGGGTGGGAATTGCAGCATGTGTGTGCTTCCGTAAGGCCTGCTAGGAGCGGAGCTCTAGCAAGATGCCGCCATTCGCGCCGGAAGTCAGGCGGCGCCCCCCCTTTCATTTTTATATATGTAAACAAACCCAGTGTCAAAATCAAAACAAATAATTTAAAAAAAATTTTTATTTAGTTTTCTTTATATATTTATTTCGTACATTTACATATGTACGACATAATCAGATATCACATAACATAATTACAAACAAGAAATAAAATAGGACTTGGTGTCGGTAGGTGCTACCGTAAACAATGTAAATACTCTAGTACAGATATAGATATCTGTGCTACACTGGCCAGAACTTTGTTGTAAATTTTTGTGCCCTTTTCTTTATTTTCTGCTTCGCTCCAGATTCTACTCATCAGACTTAGCATTCTGCATACATAAATATATATATACTGTATAATATATCATATTATGTTTCTTCTCCTAATTCCTTTAATATTTCATTCCAGAATGAGAGCTCATTTTTTCTATTATTAATAAAATTTGTTATAACTCTTTCCATTCTACATTGGTATGTCATTTTTGCCTTAATAACTGGCCAGTTACATACTACTGTAGACTTCCAATTTCTTGCAATGGAAATTTTTACCGTCGTTATTAGATGTAAGAATATTCTGGTCTCATTTCTGTTTAAATTATTAAGAGACATATGCAGTAGCACTCTTATTGGGGAAAACTCATATTTGTGCCCGATCCAGGTTGCGAAGAATCTTCTGTCTTTTTCCATAGTTGTCTTAATAAAGGACATGACCACCAAATATGAGTCTGATCACCTCTAAAAGTGCCACATCTTCAGCTTAAATCTGTATTATTTACATACATTTTAACAATTCTTGCTGGTACTAAGTGCCATCTGTTCATCAGCTTAAATTGTAACTCATTTATGTTTAGACAATGACTGTTGCTATAGGTCATTTTAAAGGATCTATTCCAGTCTGGTAGCCTAATTACCAATCATAGATCTTGCTCCCAATTTTTAAGTGCCGGAGGAGTCGATTCTTTTTTTAATAGTCTTCTCAATTCTAAGCACTTAGTTACTACATTTTTATAGTCTTACTGTTGGATTAATTTGCTCAAAAGTTGGAGCTCTTTAGAAGTATCCTCCCTGATTACATATGTTGATACTATACCCTTCACTCTTAGATATTTAAATGTGTCCCTCAGTGTTAGGCCAAATTCTCTCTGTATATCGTTCAAAGGTTTTATTTCCTTGTTTTCCAGGAGATCACTTATATATTTTACTCCTTTTATTTCCCATAAAAACAGGTCTAGGTCTTCAGTTAAGTAGGTAATGTAGCTAACTGGGAGGCAAGATACAATTGAACTTTGAATATCAAGTTTATTTCTGGTCGTCTACAGTTAGCTAAAATGTAACGTGGGGCAAGACTTCCTTCTCCTTTTAGAGCCTTTTTATTTAACGATGTTCTCAAAATAACCATGCTAGTTACTTACTTGTCTATACCTTCTGCCCCATGTTCTAATGTATACCACCCTTCTGTTTTAGACTTTTTTTTGTGTTATTATTGCATGGGTTAGTAATGCGGATTGGGCATATTTCTTTATAATCGGTATCCCTAAGCCTTCTTTTTCTTTTTTTTTTTTTTAAAAAAAAAAGGGATTCCACCAATCCATTGCAGCATTACAATAGGTCCTCCAGAGTTATGGGGAGATTTCAGGTTACATAGTTAACATGACTAAGTCTAGTGCACCCCCGGTAGGTATGTCGGCGGCGGATGCAGCGGAGATCGGGGACGAACACACCATACATATCAAACACACTTCCATTAAATATCTAGGAGTTTGTTTAACCGCGGACCCCCAAAAATTGTTTCACTACAATTACACTCCATTAATGAAAACCCTAACAAGAGACCTCGAAAAGTGGCTGGATATGCCGATATCATAGGTAGGACGGATTCACTCCGTGAAAATGAATATCTTGCCACGCATCCTATTTCTGTTCCAGGCACTGCCCATACACCTATCTAAAACCCAGCTACTACCACTGCAACGAACCATAGGTGCTTTCATCTGGCAAAATAAACGTCATAGAATTTCCAGACAGGTCCTTTATAGACCCAAGGCGAGGGGAGGACTGGGATTGCCCTGCTTGTATTACTACTATCTGGCCGCCCAATTAGCGCAGGTAGCGATGTGGCACACACCCCCAGATGAAAGAAAATGGGTAGATATAGAATCGCTCATGATAGGTGCTGATCTTCCACAATTCGCTATGTGGGTACCAAAAGAAAATAGACCCATGATCAGGGTTACATGACCAGCGATCCTGAACTCACTTAGACTGTGGGACCTAACACATCTAAAATACAATCTAGCATCCTCACCTTCACCCCTGATACCCTACCTCCGCATTAAGGCCTTTACCCCAGGCATGACTGCCAGAGACTTTAGGAACCTGGAGCAAACAGGGATCCAGAGAATATGCCACTTATACAAAGGCACCGAAATAGTGGGGTTTGACGACCTCGCGCAAGAGAGGCATCTCACAACGAGTGACTTTTTTAGATATATCCAGCTGAAAGATTTTATTAAACAACCACATATCAAAAGCGCGGCGATACAACCACTGACATTTTTTGAGCGTTGGTGCCTGACAGACAACTTGCCCCAGGGCATGATAACGCTGCTGTACGCCCATCTCTGCTCAGAGACGAGGGAATGGGGCAGACTAACGTATACTTAACAATGGGAACAGGAACTAGGTGAAGTTCTACAAGGGATTGAATGGCAAGAGATATGGGATGCAAGTGCCACCACCTCTGTATGTGTGACCCCCAGGAACAATCCTTTAAAACGATGTTCCGGTGGCACACCACCCCTGTAAAGTTGTTTATAATGCACAAAACTACGACTGATGAATGCTGGAGGGGATGCGGACTCAAGGGGTCCTATTTACACATGTGGTAGGAATGTCCCAGTATGGTTAGATTCTGGAATCGAGTTAAAAACCTTCTGAGGCAGGTGTTCTCCAGGACCTTAGAATTAGATCCCTGGGTATACTTGCTCAACAGACCGTTGGAGGGTTGGACCAGAACTGAACAAAAGCTTATCCATAAAATCACGCTGGCGGCTAGGAAGGCGGCAGTGGCCTCCTGGCTGAAGCCAACTACCCCAGGCATGTCAGAAATTGTAGCTAGAATTAAAGAGATAAGACTGATGGACGATCTGACAGCCAGAGTTAGGGGGTCCACTAAAACTTTCCATAAGATCTGGGACGTATGGGACGACAGCGCACTGGGTGAGGACTGAGGCCGCTGCACATCCGGAGTATGGCATGTTTGCTGATCCACCCCCCTTCACCTCCCCCGGTGGCCTCCGGTGGCCCCCGGATACCATCCTGCCAGAAGAAACTCAGCACCACATATTCCTCTCGCTCCCCCGACCCTCTGTAACCCTCCACCTCTCTTACCTTCCTTCTTTTTCCTTCTCCTATCTTGGACATACCCCCATCTTTACGGGGTTGATATATAAAGCAAGACATACAACTACGCATTGGTTCGCCACTGACATGTCTTAACTAAAAGATGCAATGTGTTTAACCAAAATGTACATGTAACCCGTCGAATATGTTGACATTGCAGTAAGGTGGAATCATCAAGTTTTATGTACAAATATGTAGTTAATAATGACATTAACTATGGGAAGTTGTGATACCTATCTTACCAATGTCATGCCGCTGTTCTCCTGCCAAGATGTAAAGATAAAGAATTAAAAAAAAAAAAGGGATTCCAAACTTAATCTTGATTTTTTTCCTGCCCAAATAAAATGATTAAAAGCTGATTGTATCAAGTCTAGCCAAGCTGGCGGTACCATTAGGGGTATCATTCTAAATATATATGTCAACTTTGCTATGTTTATCCTCCACCACCATGATGTACCTAGGCCTTTCCATATCTTTAATGATCTATTAATTTGTTTAATTAGGGGTAATATGTCTATCTCCATCCAGTTTTTTGGATCTGAAGAAATGTTTATTCACAAATACTTGCGATGCGATTTAGCCCATATAAAACCATACATGCTGTTCAAATGTGTTCTTTCTTCTTGTCCTAAATTTCGTGATAATGCAACAGTTTTCCCTAAATGTAACCTGTAATTTGATAGCTATATTTTGTGATTGTATTCATTGTTTCTTGAAATGCATTTATAGGGTCTTCCCCTATCAGTAAGTATCAATAAGATGTCGTTTGCGTAAAGGACAAAAATCTAAACAAATTCTAATATAATAAAACGTTAAATGATGGCAATTTTATGTTTCAGCTAAATTTAGTTTTGAATATCTTGAGAAGCATGGCAGAAACTCGTCCTATGAGAAATTTGTGTTTAGTGATCTATATTCCAAAACATTCACTGTGACTCTTTCCTTGGAGCACAGGTGCAGAACCTTGCAATTTAGATAAGAAATTGTATTAATATTCATATCATGAATTTCAAAGCTGACTAAAATATTAACACAGTTCCCTGTTCTGCAACTGAAACTGCAAAGACTGACATCTTTTGCAAATCTCTTGCTATTTTGAATTCACTTTAGCAGGAGAGGTTTAGTGTTTCTCAAAATGTAATTTTTACAGCAATAACTGAGCTTAAAAATGAGTAGATCATCACAGTTTATATTTGTTCCAAAATTATGAATAAATATATAATTAAATGAAAAGGCAAATATAGAAATTCACCAATGATTTCTATGCTATTAATTTGCAACAGTAATACATTTTAGTTAGCCATCCCCCTTCCCCCCCCCCAAAAAAAACCCACTATACAATAATTATAAAAGTATTTTGTCTCTGTTATTTGAACCATGATATTGTAATAAACCCTACCTAGTGGAAAAAATATCTATAGCTTCCTAAAACATTTATGGGGAATAAGGCAGATGTGAAGCCTATAATAAAAAGTACAATTCATTATGGGAAAATGGTCCAAGCTGCCACTGGGTGGCACTCTAACACAGAAAAATGAACCACAACATCAGGAAACCACAACATCAGAAACAAAAATAATTGTCTCCAAAAGGGAAACAGAAATATTAGGAATGCTA